TCTGGGTAGCTGGCTGTGACCAAGTAATGACCATAACCTTGCCCCTTGTCAGCTCTACTATACACCTGGGAATTCTGATCATTCACATAAACTTATAGGCCCATTGTCTGCCAATCCTATATATGATCTTGGATACACTCCCCATTTAGACATACCTAATTGTTTAAGGCAGTAAATCTTTATGGAAACAGAGTGCCTCATCCTTTTCCCACTGGACAGCTGGTGGGTCCGAGCCACCAACCTTTGGGTTAACAACCAAATGCCTTAGCCACTATACTACCAGAGCTCCTTGAGTAAGATAGAAGTAAAGAAGGAATTGTGTTGGCTGCCTTGGTCCGGGGAGGCTCTCATTTGGAGCTTCCAGTCAAGACTCACCCTCCCTGCCTTGTCACTGCAGCTCACTAGAAGCTCTGCTCTGCCAAGGGCCCCTCCTTCATCATGTGACCTGTCTCCCCGGGGTCCTTGGACACCCCATGCTGAAGCAGAGACTCATTGTTCTAGAGCCCTTGTTGTTGTGCTATGCTGTCCCCGGAGCCTCCGCTCCAGGACCCTCTGCCCTGCCTGCTCTGTTAGCCTCCCATTCTGATTTCTTCAAAGTTTCAAGAGTGATGGACTTAGACATATGCCTACCTTGGTAGTGGCTATTACGATGGCTAATGCTTTACTGTACAGAAGCATGGCTTCAGAGAGAGCAGGAAGGGACCTGAAGGACAGCCCAGGTCTACAGATGACCTAATCCCAGGACTCCTTGTTCTACGTCCACCCTGATGTTCAGGTTGGAAGGGGGATCACTGAAGCTCTGATGCTGGGGATGCCAGCCAGCTGGTGAGTGCCCTCTGCTGGCCTCTCACGGGGCTGCTCTCAAGTCATGTCACCCAAGACCATCACTCAAGACCCCCTGCTCACCTTCACATGACTGTACCGTGCTCCCTGACCCCACTCCCCCTATTCATTCCCACCTTGGCGCTAGAACTGTTTCAGTCTCCTGCCCCTACAGTCTTAAAAATGAATGCCAGTCAGAAGAGCTACAATGATTGTTTTATGTCCAGTGGTCCAGCTCTGACTGTGACATTTAAAATCACTAGTCACTGTGGAAGTTGAAAAAAAAATGTTATTGTCTTTAGTGCTGTAATTGGTGCTTTAGATTGTGGTTGTTTTTCTCCCTTTCATCAGGACAATGGGACTTTGATAATTATAACTCCTTGAGGTAAGCGGAATGGTTGTATAACTCATTAAGAGTATGGAAAGTTAGGCAACCTCTGAAAACCCTTTCTTTGCAAGGAAGTCCTCAGGCTGTTCCCAGAACTGGATTTAGGTGGACTTGGTTGTCCACAAGGAGAGTGAGCCATTAGCTAGGATGACAGTCACAACATCAGATCCCCAGCTTTGCAGATGGAGTGTGCACAAATGTTCTGATACAGTGACGTTCTTAATTCAGAATGTTAGAGAACTGATTCTGCCTTGCCATGTAGCTGCAGTGTTTGTGGGTGGTGCAAATGGTTAAGCACTGGACTATTCACCAAAAGGTTGGAGGATCATACCCACCCAGAGGTGCCTTGGAAGAAGGGTCTGGCAATCTATTTTTGAAAGGCCATGACCTTGAAAACCCTAGAGAGTGCAGTTCTACTCCGCACACGTGGTGTCACCATGAGTTGGAATAGACTCAGTGGCAACTGGTGTGCTTTGTTTTTTCTATGTGGATGCAGTAGTCCTGGTGCTAAGGATAGTATCTGTTTGCAACTGTCAATTTCTGGAAGAGCTTCAGGCTTTTTGTGTTTAAGGAAATGTGAAACCCAGGCATGTTCTCAGACTTGGACATGGGAATGCCCAATGTGCGCTGTGTGATTGCCCCGCTACACTGTGTCTTCTTGCTTTGTAGACTTGTTGGCAGTGAAGCGGAAGAGAGGCAGGCCGAAGGGGTCCACGAAGAAGCCCTGTGCCGAAGAGGAGCTGCCCGAACGCGTCGCGAGCCCGGCTGAGGACTGTCTGCTGGCTTCCGAGGAGGGGGACAACCTGGCGCCAGGCAGCTTGGAGTGCAACAAGTGCTACCGCAGGTTCTCCAACCCCCGCCAGCTGAAGAAGCACATCTGCATCATTGTGCTGAATGTGGGCGAGGAGGACGGGGATGCAGGTAACGCTGCTGCCTGAGGCGCCACGCCGCGTGCTTATGACGAGAGGTGGCGTTGATACCAGTGTTCACTCCGGTTCTTGGACATAGGTCCCCCACCTGGAAAAGTGCCTATTTTCATAGTGATGATGATTTTGCTGTACGTAACCATTCAGTTGAATGCGCCATCCCGTATCTGTGTGCCCATGGGAACTCTTCAGTAAATGCTCTGGAAGTTGTAGAGTCCTGGGTACAAATGGTTAAACACTAGGCTGGTAACCAATAGGTTGGTGGTACAAACCCACCCCGAGGCACCTTGGAAGAAGGGCCTGATCATCTGCTCCTGCAGGGTTGTAGTCTTGAAAGCCCTGTGCAGTTAGTTCTACTCTGTACATACGGGGTTACCGTCAGAGTCGGCTGGATGGAAGCCGTTTTTATTTATCTGTTTATCTTTCTCTGGAGATTGCGAACGGGTGAGCAAAGGCTCTGCCTTGGTTAGAACAGTGCCTGTCGACTGAAGGCCTTGGTAAATGTTAGCTATTACTGGTAGCTGTTCACAGCTGTATGGAAGTAGTACTATTGTCATTTTACAGTTTACAGAGAAGGTGGTTTAGACACTGAGATATTTGTCCAGGACCCTTTAGCTAGTAAGGGGCACCCTGGCTTTTGAACCCAGGCCATCTGACCCTGAGCCCCTATTCTTCAACTCTTTATCATAATGGCTCCCAACAGTGAAGGCAAGCCCCTTAGTGTATGAAATCCCAATGTAAATTGGATGAATTATTGAGTAATGCAGCGACTAATACCTGTCAGACACTTCTGTTTGGTGGACATTGGCAACATCCGTGCAAGTTGTGGGAAGCACAGACAGTGTCCCTCTCTCAAAAGGTGATTACCTAAAACCTCACCAGGCTGCTCAGTGCTTGCAAATCCTATGCCCTCCTGCCTGCTGAGCTTTCTGCCTGCAGAAGTGCTGCCTTTCTGATCTCCGGTGGATTCTTCTAAGGAGTGCATCTCCCTGGGGTAATTGTTCACCTTGCAGGCCTGTCTGTTTTTTGGCTGAAAGTTAAGCCTCAAGAGTGAGTTCAGTTCCAGGCCTGAAGGGTGACTAGGGGGACCATAGTCTTGGGGGTTTCACTCGTCTCCATTAGACCAGTAAACCTGGTCTTTTTTTTTTTATGATTTTCAATTTTGTTCCACATTTGTCTCTTGCTGTATCCAAGATCTCCTATTTTGATCCCTTTCTGAGTGGTTGGCATTGGTAGCTGGGCACCATCTAGTGCTTCTGTTTCAGGGTCATGTAGGCTGAGATTCACAGAGTCCACTAGTCCCTTGAACTAGTAGTTTCCATGCATCTTTGATTTTCTTCACTGTTCTTTGCTCCAGACAAGGAGAGACCAATAGTTGCATCTTAGATGGCCACTTGCAAGTTTTTGAGACCCCACCAAAGTAGGATGTAGAGCACTGTTTCCATGTACTGTTATGCCAGTTAACCTTGACGTCGCCTGTGACCATGGTCCTGAGCTTGCAGGCTCAGAGGATGTATGACATGTTTAAAGGCTGCACAGCATTTCATAGTCTATTGTATGCGTGGTCCATTACTTGTACTTTATGGTCACCCATTGATGGACATTTTGGATTGCTTTTAAATTTTTCTCCCTGATAAACAACACTACTCAGGTGAACAGTCCTAAGCTTGTCTTTTTATTTTAGTGTTATTATACCTGTGCCATTGTTGTCTTCTGTAAATACCTAGTAATCAGTGCTGAGCCAGTAGGCATCCCTTCTGTTTTGATTTGTGTACATATTGTGAAACAGCCCAGTAGAAAGACTGTATCACTTATACTTCAGTCACCTGCCGGGTCCTCATATCCATCTCTCTCCTCCGTATCTTGGGTTGTGTCAGGCTTCATCCTTGTTCATCTCATATGTGAATATCTTTCTTTAATTGTTTTATTGTGAGTTTATTTGGTACCTGGTGGACAGTCTTATCACATAAAAAGCCAAAGTTCCCAGAGAGTTTCCTAGGCTGAAATCTTTGTGGGAGAAGAGCACTAGGTCATTCCTTCCACAGAGCGGCAGGTGGATTTGAACCACCCTAATAACCACATGGACCTATAGTTTAACATTGGATCAGGACACTGATATGGGGCAGTGTGGCTGTAGCCCCATGCCTTCTATCACATCTGCAGACATGTGCGGCCACCATCACAATCACATGGACCATTCGTCACCACAGGATTGCCTCTGTGCTGCCCTCATAGTCACACTTCCCTCCCCAGCCCCTGGCAACTCCTAATCTGTCTCTCTCTCTGTAGTTTTGTCATTGGAGAACATTACACAGTAAAACTTGCAAAAGCCGGAAGCTGTATAAGGCAGAGACCTGTCAGAGAAGGAAAAGGCAAGCACTCACTAAAACAAGCGATAGAAGAGTGGTCAGAGTGTACCCTGTCAGAGGTGGAAACCTCGCGAGCCTGGAAAAACAAGGCTGTCCCTGGGCTTTCTGGCTCTCACAGGTTTCCCTGTGTAAGTTGGATCATAGTTGGCACAAGTATGAGACCTTGTGCCAACTTTGAATTTAGACTCGACTTTCGATTTTAGACCCAACCTGAAATCTTGAGGAACTCGAGGCCCAGAGTATTGGTTGTCCAATCATTCTGCCCATTTGGGGTGAGTTCGGCTAGGAATCCATGTCTCCCTGCTCCTACGCTGTCACCAGCCCCTGCCCACCACGTTTGTTCTTAAACCAGCCATCCCTCTACTTCCCGGATACAATTTTATTATTATTATTATTATTTTTGCAGTGTTTCCTTCCTTCCCCTCCCACCCCTGGTAACCAACAAAGAAAGTTTCCTACATATATAAAACTTTGCATGATTTTTTACAATAATGAACTAATACAATATTTGTCCTTCTGTGATTGACTTATTTCATTCAGCATAATATCTGCCAACCCAGATGTACTTTTATTCTTTTCTCTGTTCTCTTAGATTTTTCTCTAATCTTGGAAGAAGTGAAGGTCCACTGTTCCCCGATGTTTGTGTTCTGCTCTGTGGTTAGCGAGGTGGTCTCTTCAGCAAAGACAGGCAGACCGCCTCTCTAATGAGATTATTGCTTCCTCCAGTTGTAAGCCGTGCAGAAAACTGCCTCGCATCCCAGTGATTGGAGTGACCTAAGTGGATTGTAATTTAACAAATACCAAACGGAAAGGTGGAAGCACTGGGTGTTTTTCCCTTCCTGGCAATGGCTGAAGCCTGTAAAATATGCAGAAATGACCTTATGCCCAGCTGCCTGGTGGCTGATGGCCATGTGACACTCCATGTTGTTCAGTTTGCCAAGCACAATATTACACTGTGGAAAATTTTCCCGTAATTGTTTTAATGCTGGCTCTGTAAAGAGCAGTTTAGTGACATTTCCAATAGTTGACCTTGACACTTTAGCTTATTAAAACAATCAAAAGAAAACGGAATAATCTTTTTCCTTGCACTGAGCCATGGCAAGTTAAAATCACACTCTTGGTATGTAGTCAATGTTTGTTTATTGTATCCTGCATTGGAATAGTAAGAGAAACCAGCAAAAGAGATTTCTTTTTCTCTGTCATTAGGTGGAACAGCTGGTGTTTTAGAAAAACATTTTGCAGCTGACCGAAATCAGTGTGTCAAGTTTATAAAAGCGAGTTGTGGACCTTTCTCAGCTTGTTATTTCTGGGTCATTTTAAGCAAGAGGAGTTGCAGAACCTTGCTCTTCCTCTGGTGAAATCCTTCCTAAGAAGGCAAGGCGTTTATTTTATGGGCTCACCTAAGATGCACCATAATCTCCCTGAAGGTTTTTTACAGCAGTGTTGCAAGTCTCGGCCTTCTCCTGTATTTGTGTTAGCAAAACTGCTGACTTGAGAAATAGACCTGCTTTGATTGGGAACTGGGTCTGCTGGTGTTTGAGAGGTACTGAGTGTTAGTCTCACAGTCGAAGCTGTGACTGGGGGGAAGCTGTATATGGTGAGGCCTCCTTCTCTTTGATGCCTTGTGAACCTTGCTTAGGAGTCCTGGTGGCGCATTGGTTAAGCGCTTGGCTGCTAGCCTGAAGGTTGGCAGTTGGGACCTACCCAGCAGCTTTGTGGGGGAAGAGGACCTGGTGACCTGCTTCTGTAAAGATGACAGCCTAGGAAACCTCGTGGGAGCAGTTCTTCTCTGTCACATGGGGTTGTGTCTTAGCCTGGGTTTTCTAGAGAAGGAAAACCAGGGAAGCTTATATATGTGTATGAAGAGAGATTCATCTCAGGGAAATGGCTCCTAAGGTTGCAGAGGCTGGCAAGTCCCAAGTCCGCAGTCAGGCACCAGGTTGGAGGCTTCTCCTGACTCACGTAGCTGCAGGGGCTGATGAACCCAGGGTTGGCAGGTAAGACGGCTGGCCACTGGCTTCAGAGGCGGATGAGTCCCATGGTTGGCAGGCTGCTGGCTCAAGTCCTGGAGGATGATGATGGTGAGTTGGATGCAAGATCCAGAGGGTGCTAAAGCCTTTGAGCTTTGCCAGAACGTCCATATGTATATTGGATACAGCTGCAAAGCAGCTGTCCTTAAAACTGACTGGCTGATCACGTCAGATCACATCCTGGAGGCAATTACATTGTATCACAAAATAGAGGACAACTACATCGTTACCTACCTGCCAAACCACTGATAATCATGGCCCAGCCACATTGACACATAACTTTAACTGTCACAAGTCGCCTGAGTCACGATCCATTGGACAGCAAGGGGTGGCTTGTTGGTACTCTCTGTGGGAGGCTGTGCCAGAAGCAGCTGCTGCCTGTCCACCCCCACCCCCGGCCCCCAGGAGCAGGAGAGATTGGAAGATGAGAGAAAGCTTGAGGTGAATAAGGGGAGAAAGAGAGATGAGGGAGGGACAGTGATGCATATTCGGCGGGGTGGGGGGGAGTCACTGGGGGCCAAGTTAGGTTTTTAGACTGCTGCATTAGCATGCACGGTGGAAGGAGTTGGTGACCGCGTCCCAGGGTAGAACCTGTA